AAACTTGCTCATGGCATTGGTATCACAAACATCAGAGTTGACTGGAATCAGACTGACATTTGGCGCTGACTGGTCAGTCCAGCAGAAGCCAGAAGTACATCAAGCTGTTTGATAGCTTCGTAGCTGCTGGCCTTTAAAGATGAGGGGCTCGTGTTTACTGAGGTGCTAAAAGAAACATAGCCTTGTAGTGCAATTTTCTATGTTTTCATCACAGGATTCCGAACTACCTCCTACTAAAAGAACTCCCCCAAGCAGGTAATTGCAAGGGCCTGGGCTTCTTCTATACGAGGCCAGACATACGGAAGCATGCACTTCTTTCATTTCAGAGACAAAAGCTTGAGAGTTTTCTATTTAAAATACGAGCTAGTGATTTTCAACGCTGGTGCCATTAGGGAAAGTAGAAGTTTAAATAAAAAGGAAGCATTCTCTGAAAGTGTGTTTCACCTACCTTTCTGGTAGCTAAACAGGACTGTAGAAAAGGGTAGGTTTGGGGTGGGGGAAACGGGGAGAGGGAAGAGAGGAAAGCGGCAGGAAGCAGTCCCCCAATGCGATGCAAAATCCCAATGGATTTTACTCCCGCCCATAAGCAGATGATCATCACCGTGTAAAGTTAAAAAAAAGAGAGAGATCAAGACCAACTTTATCTTCGGAAGCCAGCTTTATGCTCCAGAAGGGCCTACAAGAAACATCGAGGCAGAGACAGACTACTGCAGTTTGCTGGAACCGTGCTTTTAAGAGAGAGCACTACTACTCTAGATGATCACTTTGCTTAGATTTATTCAGGGAAGCCTGATAAGCAGCTACGACTTACTGATCGCTAAAAAAGCACGCAGCTCCCCCCTGAGCTGACTACACAGCGGCTCCCTCTCCCCCTCAGCTTCTGCCCAGGGCTTCTCGTTTTCGGGTCGTTTGCCATCTGTTGCACTGACAGCTGCTTAGCTCGGCACGTTAATTCTCCACGCTCAGGATACGAAAGCTACTTGTGACTTTCAGCATGAGTTCAAAATAAGACACACGCTAGCAAAAAAAAAAAACAAACAAAAAAACCCAAAAAACCCAACCCCAAACCAAACAAACTTGGAAAAAGGAATACCTGTGCTTTTGGCTGATCTGCTTGTTTGAGGGACTTGCTCTTCTCAATCTTGTACAGCTGGGCTTTTGCCTTTTTCAGAAGACTAGCCACCCTCTTGTCAGTCATTGGCAGTTTGTCTGCTTGAGCCAGCATAGAGCTGATGGAGGAAGCAGAATGTTTAACGGTGCTTGACGAAGGAGCAGAAAGACGCAGGGCTTTTTCCTTCTCCAAAGATGGCACAGCGGGGCTGAGGTCCAGATCTGATTTGTCTAACCCCCCTCTACCTTTCTTGGACGTTTTGGTTTTGATGGCTGCCGTATCTACCAGAGCAGCAGTGGAAACGTCTGCTGCAGGATCTATTGCTGTCGACTTCTTCCTCCCGGCAGTTTTTTTGGCAGACGATGATGCTGCAACATCTTCGCTGACAACTTTTTCTTTGGGCATTTTACCTACAGGAAACAAAGCAGAGCTACTCTGAATTTCTGACCCTTTTCTCCTTTTCTCTTTCCTTGACTCCCGTTTGTTCTCCTTTTCTCTCTCTCTGTCTTTCTCTCTGCTCTTGTCCTTCTCCAGGCTTTTGTCAGCGTCTTTATCTTTGGAGAGTTCCTCTGCTGCCCTGTCCTTGTTTCTGCCTCTCTCTGTCTGGGGACTCGACGTGAACCAAGGGAAGAGAGGAGTAGGGCTGCTAGACGAGAAAGGCTCTGCCGGAGTGCTAGTCTGCTTCCTCGGTCTCTGGCTTCTTTCTGCCGATTCCCCAGACTGCGTTAGGGAATGGGAGGGAAAAGTAAAGGTTGAATTTAAGGCACTAGTGGCAAGAGAACTAACAGAAATGCTAGTTAATGAGGAAGAGACAGAAGACTGTGGGGTGAGAGTTGTCAGATCAGAGGTACTAAGTCTCCCGCTTCTCGTCCTCATGGAGTGCGAAGGAGATCTGGGTTCCGATCGGATGGGGCTAAAGACTCTCCTCTTCCGCTTCCGAGAAGAGACACCCGTTGCAGAGGTCCCTGTGGCGGTGCGACCGACCGACGAGGACAGAGTTACAGATTCAAAGATCCTGGAGTGGGCCTCGCTCGGCGTGAACCTGGGCGCTCGCAGCAGAGGACTTCTCTTGTGCATATCAAACCTCGTTCCAGAGTGAAGAGAAAACAGGCGTGCTGGAGCTGTGGCACCTGGCGTCGAGAAGCCAGATGCAAAGCCGACGTCCTCCGGTGTCAGCGGTGGAGGTCTGAAGTTATCGAATATCGGTTTGCGAATAAGACCCTCTTTGGCATATTTTGCTGATGAGAAGTACTGCGGTTCTGACCTGGAATGCTTCAGGGAGGTCCACCTAAACGTCGGCTCTCGCAGAATCGACTTCCGTTTCTCTTGCATCGGCGCGGCAGAAGCAGGAAGAAAGGGTGAGGCTAACGGTATGGTAGGAGGCATAAGCCAAGGGGTATGGTCCGAGATGCTGGAAGCAGGCTGCAGCGGTGGGGGCGGAGTGAGCAAGGGGGGAGGAGGAGAGGAGGAGGACTGCTGCTGCGGCACACTTGGTAAGGCTGACAGCTTTTTAGCAGTCCTCTGGCCAAAACTTCTTTCCGTTATCGAGAACCTTCTGTTTCTCCTATCGCCGTTATCGTTTTCAGGGGACTGAGAAACAGGCAGCGGTGCGTGAACTTCCGGAGTATTGCTTCGCTCCTCAGAAAGCGCCTGCATCTCCTCGGAAGCCTGGGAGTCCGTAGACGTATCCACGCTGGGGCTACTGGACCGCGAGGAGTCCGAAGACATCTGAGACGAATGCTGAGAAGCAGCGCTGGACTTTTCACTGGAGCCACAAGACGTGGCGCTGAACCTGCTGTTTGGTGTGGATTCTAGTCTGGATATTTTAATAGGAGGATCGTAGTCTTCATCCTCAATGAACCGTTTGGGTGTTTTAATAATCCGTGAAGAGATAGCACTCACAACCGGCATGATGAACTGTCGGATATTCTTGAGCTGGGTTCTCCCCTTCCTGCCCTGCAGTTTGGCTGCTTCTTTCTCAATCTTTTTTTGCGCCCCCTTTTTAGCCCTCTGCAAGAGTTGCTTAGCAATTGCAGCGTCCGTCCTTTTGGTGGAAGGTATAATCCTAACGGGCTTAATCCTGCGCGGACTCTGTCTGACAGCAGTCTTTTCCTCTTTTGTGAGAGGTGGCGTGCCATCCTTTTCTTTGCGAATCCTTTGGGGTTTCTCCAGCTGCGAGTTTATGACTAAGGAAGTCGAGGAAGTCTTCAAACGTTCGGAGGACGGCGGCCTACCTCTCCTGCGCACGATCTGAATCCGATCTGAAGTTTCGCCCCAGGCTTAAATTTAGATTTCAGTGGGGAGAGCTTACTGGTTCTTAATTTCTTGATTTTAGTTGCCTGCTGAAATGCAGTGGATGGTGACCTTTTGATTTTTTTCAGACTCTCTTTTTCTTCTTTACTGCCCTTCTGAATGTCCGATGCGTCCTTTACTTGTGACAATTTGAACTTCACGCTCGTAAGCGTTGGAGGTCTTCCTCGTCTTTTTTCCCCACTCTTCAACTCCTTCTTCTTTACTTTCTCCATGGGTGTGGTTTCAGACTTGCTCGAAGGGGAACACACTGATGAGGAGTCCGACAGTACAGCTGAACTTCGGTCAGAACTGCTCCGGGGCCTCCCGCGAGGTTTCCGTGGACTAGACTTAACTGAGAGGGAAGTAGAGAACGCAGAGCACACGTTAAATTTCTCCGAGTGTCGGACCAGCGTTACCCAGGTCACGCAAGTATTTACTCAGTATCTGTCGCACTGCCCATACAACTTGCCAAGACATTTCAGTTGATCAACAAATAGAAATACAGTTTTATCAATATACGTAAAGAGTACCTTCCCAACAAACCTCTTCTCCCATGTAAAATATGAAGTAGATCTTTTTTTTTTTTTTTTTTTTAAAACGCAAGCTTGCCTTTTCACGACAACTATCTATGCAATGCCACAAAACCACCATCAACCTGCTGTTGAGAGGGAACAATAATTCTTAAGGGCACGTGCCACCTTTCAAACACATTCAAAGATTTTTTGTTTTGTTTTGTTTTGTTTTTTTTTTAAGCAGATCACAGCGAGCTGAAAGGAAAAAAAAAAAAAATCCTTCTTCTCTAGTACCATCCATCTGCACTGCTAAGGGATAGGTCAGTAAGGCAAGAACCACGTACAGGGAGAGGCTGATACGAGGTAATTTACCACAAAAAACCTGGTTTTAGCTTTGAAACACAGTCAGTGCTCGGCATTGCACTTGGAATCATCAAGCAGCTGTGTAAGGCTTGATTACTCACCTCTACCAATGCATTTCAATGCATGCCCACCAAACCCAGCCATTCCAGTTCTGGGTCTTCACACAGCTCTGACAAGGTACTTCATTCTTCGTTTGAAACACCCTGTTAGCAAGGCTTGCCGCAGCAGAATTTGCTGGCAAGGCCAAGCTGAGCAGATCATTGTGGTGAATGAGCAGAGTGCTGTGGTGGGAGCCTTTATTGGCAAGAATCTAAATCAAAGCTGAACTCATTCACTGGCAGTCCCATCATGATTTGATCCTACATTTTGAAAGCTGAAAATTCAACAACTTAGCTGCAGCTTATCCTCAAGTGCTCTCTATTTGGTTTGTTTCCAAAAAAGCGAAGGTTCCAGTTACAGGTGATAATGAACCTAGTGAAAGATACTGAAATATTCAAACCAGTCTGAGATCCTTACTATCAAAATAATTGCCTCTCTGAAACACTCACGTGAGGTTTCGAACGCTGGTTTCATCAGTACAACTCTTTTACTCAAAGTTTCCCTGTACCGTAACAGATCAGATGTAAAGAGTCCAAAACGAACTGAGTCGAATCCAAAGACCAGGGTGGCTTTTATGGCGGATGAGATTTGGTGGAACAAACAGGAGAGGCAGGGCAAAACCATCACAAAGGAGAGTACAAAATCAACGTCCAGTCCCGCGACTTGAACGTACCTGTGGGGGACCTGGTGGGACTTCGTACTTTGACTTCTTCATCTGAACCAAAACCTAAAAACTGTTCATCCTGCAACGAGAAAGCGGATGGCAATTTGAAGACGCGGATATTAACGTTACAACGAACTCCACTATGATCGAAGCACGAAAGGCTTCTAGAGGATTTTCCCCTCCCCAGGTAACATACTGGCATTTGTTCTTCTAGCAAACAATTGCTAAAAAGGAAACAGAGCTTTCCTATATACATATGAAGCAGCTACAGTTTACAACTACGGAACGGTCAAAAAGAGATACGGGGAAACAAAAGACACGTATAAATGGAAACCAACCCTTAATGCCTAAAATCTGCCGCTCGTATCAAACCACAAAGGTCTACTCTTACAAGCTATTATTCAAACTACCCTAAAGACGTACTCCGGCAAAGGAAGTGTTTCCAGGTGTATTTTTCTAGTACAAACGTAGACTAACTTCCTCCAAACTCATCTAAAAGCCTCTCCGGATGAGCAGAAGCATCTGATGTCTATAATTCTGCCTGAGCATCCTGGAGTTCGAGCAAGACCTCAGGGCTCGCCCCAGTCCCTTTCCGAGAGCTCCCCTGAGGGAGGGCTTGCCACCACCAAAAAAGCATTTCTTCCTAAGGGACCGCAACCTTTACTAATTGTTACATTGCAAAGAATAACAAAATTAGCAGCCATGTAGGTAACATTATGGAACGTCAAGGACAATTTTCTTAAAAATTGGCTCTAGATTACAGTAAAGGTGGTTTTTTGTTGTTGGTTTGGTTTGGGTTTGACCTTTTTTAATTCTCTTCGGAGTTCGGCTTTAGGAGAGATGAAAACCCGGCTTCCATTGTAAAGCTCTTCCCCCTGACAGAGGCGTGACGTTAGAGGCACTCTGTTCACATTAAGACAGGCTTTTCAGGGAGTATGCAAAAATGCCAATCCTACTTGTCTGCCACCAAAATTTGCGACACGTTTTTGTTTTTACTTTGTTCCTAGTCCCGTTTCACCTCAAGTATTTGCGTTCGCCAGCCTTGAGTTTCCTCTGAGCTTTGAAAACAGAGATGTCACTTGTTGCTTGCTTCTTTCAAGGGCCGGGCGACCTGGCCGCCTGCTAGAACGTAACTATGCCGTTTCTGTAACACACTGAGCCTGCAAAGTGCTTTGCGGAGAGCAAACACTACAAAGAACCGTATCCTGAAAGTAAAGAGGTGCGACGCTGTGAACAGGAGAAGGAAAGCTGCACAAAGAAATAACACCGTTTCCTGATGTAGCTTAGGCCTGACAAAAGACTTTGTCAAAACAGTGCCTTTTTTCCGCCTTGTGCTTTGTGCAATAAATTTCTAACTCATCTGCTTACAGGACAGACCACGAAGAAAGTCTCAGCTACTGAAACCACAGGTTAGTTTTAAAGAAATTAAACCACGTGCACCGAGACCCGTACCTGTCTCTACGGGAAAGTCGTGATGCGATAAAAAAAAGCAGCGAGGCTTAAGACAAACTACTTCTAAAAGTTTTCTCCTTGATTTCTGTTTGGTGAGCCTCAGCGTTAAACAAGTCAAACAGTAAATATTCTGAACAGAAGGCCATTCAAGTCTGCAACACAAGTAACGCTCTAGCAGTCAAATGAAACGCATAGACACCGAGTATGTAATCGTAATCGCTGTAAGCAAATATCACCGCACGTTGCTGGAGAAGGGGACGGTCCTGCCCTTCCTCACACCCCTGCTGCCTATCTGCAACCTGCAGATGCAGCGGCGATGCCAAGAAAACCAGAAAAAGCAACGACAGAGCAACGTAAAAGAAATAAAATTACGCCAACACAAACCCATTGTTTCTACCCGAGGAATCTCGCGTCATGCAGAACCCCCTACCGCTTCTCAACTTTAAACCTACAGTAATAAAACCGGAGCGAGAGAGGCGGCAGAAGTGCCCGGCTGCCCGCTCGCGGCACCGCAGACCAACGGCCCCGGTCACGCCTGCCTGCCGCTCCCCGAGCACGTGGGCGGCTGCGAGATGTAAACACCGCTGCGCCGGCACTGCCTCCGCAGGGACGCGCGCCCGGGGAGAAGGGTCCCCGGCAGCGGCCGATGGAGAGGCTGTTGATGGAGACCGATTCGGGCTGAAACCGTCTGAACGCTGGGGATGCAAGCAGAAGAATAACCAGCTACCTACGAACAGCCAGGTTTAGAAACACAAAGGGAACAGCCGCTCACCCCACGCGATTTCTTCCTCCTCAGCCTACCAAAAATTGAGATCCGCAGCACTTTCAAACACAATCATGCGCATATAGCGAATGCTTGGTAGGGAGAAAGGCCAAATAACGCTGACTTTTGCGCGTATGAGCCCATCTTCCCCAAGGAAACAGAACTTATTGCTGCAAGCAGAAGACTCTTAAGGCATGTATACAGCCCCTTATAGGGGAATACCTATAGACTGCTTGGTGGGGAAAAAAAAAAAAAAAAAAAAAAAAAAAAAAGACAGCAGCGGTTTCCTTCCGTCACACAATTCATTTCCAAGTCTCCCAGCTCTGACTGAACAGCTCGCCAGCGCTTCGGAAGGGCTGCGAGCAAGGGGCAGCTCGGCGGCGGTGCTCCCAGAACCACAGCGCTGCAGCCTGGGAAGCACGCCCCGACAAAGACAGGGCCCTCGCTGCGGCAATCCCGACGCGCTCGGAAAATGCAGAAGGTAGCTCTAAGGACTAGTCACGTTTCCAATAGACCACTTAAAACACTAAATACTAAATAAACAAACAAGTTATTTTCAGGAAGAGTAAGAGACACAAAGACTTATTTACAGGACTGAATTAGAGACCGTCCCTGCCCAGAGAGGCAAGTTCGTTCAGTGTAATCTAAAATAATACCTTACGCTAAAATCAGTTACTGGCACTCGATTTACATGTGTATGAAAGGCTTGCTGTTGGCCAGCTACTGCAAACCTCCCGTAACAAAGAAAGAGGTGCACCTCATGTTAAATACAGTCTCATGCAGCTGCAAATAAAAAAATAACCTCATACATAACGACAAAGTTGCAGGGGGGCTGACTGCGTGCAGTTAGACCTTTGGAACAGGAAAGCAAGCGTGCACCCGAAGTTATGACTTGAGCGTTCGGTGTTCAAAGGCAGCAGTGTCAGACAACAGAAGTGTATTTTCTGCTAACCGTTATTCTTCCCCACAAAACACAGC